GCGACTTCGTATGTCTTACAGTTCCCGATATCTCAATGGTCGGGGTCGAATTGAAACACCCTGTATATGCATTCATAAATAACCACGGCTAAATGTGTTTGCTTCCGTCTCCAGGGCTACTGTACCCCCATACCACGCCGATGAGTTGCTAAAGAGTACAAAACAGCGCTGTCTGTTTTTTGGTCATGGTTGTAGAGACAGAAAGCAACCGTGCATTTCAACCTCTTCCTACGGTCTTGGTTTCCATCCAGTCTCCCTCTTGGAGTCCTCTGGATGTCATAGACTCCAGAATATCTTGCTTTCAACTTCTTGGAGGTCTACCCCGTTTGCGACGCTCTAGTGGTACCCACTCATAGACTATTTTTGGCCTTGTTGTGTTATCCATACGTTGAAGGTGACCATGCCAAAGTAATCTTTTTATTTCAATCGTTTCTAAGATGTTGTGGTCTACTTCCATAATTTGTCTGATTCTTTTGTTCCTAACATGTTCTTGTCTGGAGATTCGGCAACTGCTTCTCCAGTAATTCCTTTTAAGAGACATCAACCTCTCTTTATGTCTTCTCGTCATCTCCCATATTTCTGAGCCACAGGTACAGATACTTTCTACTATAGCTTTGAATATCAATTTCTTTGATTTGTTTTTCACTCTAGTACTCCATAGAATAGAATTTAGGTGTCTAATTGGTCTTTTACCCTGTGCTAGTTTATTTGAAATGACTTGGTTGCTCTTGTCTTTCACCATAAACGTTACACCCAGATATTTGAATGATGTTGTGTTCTGTATGCTATGGCTTCTAACATCCAAATCTCGTTTATTTTTACATCAATTGTCAATCCCCATATGTATTACAGCTCCCGAGATCCCAATAGTGAGGGTCGAATATGAAGCATCCTGTATATGCATTCATAAATAGATACGGTTAAACGTCTTTGCTTCGTCACTGTAACCATGACCAACCGTAGTCTGTCTCCAGGGCTACTATACCCATACCGCACTGGTGAGTTGCTAAAGAGCACAAAACAGCGCTGTAGGTTTTTGGTCGTGGTTGTAGAGACAGAAAGCAACCGGGCATTTCAACTTCTTCCTACGTGACTTGGCTTCCATGAGAGGAATGACTTTATCCATTGCCAATGTCTTGGAATTATATATACTCGTATATATATATATATATATATATATATATAAGAAAAAGTTGGAAAATACTCCATGACCGCTCGGGTTACCTATCCTATTTTCTGATCGAATCCACTTTCCTCGTTTTTGCGGATTTTGCCCATTATTTTCCTACTTTTTCTTATATACCTTTCTCCGCATGATCATTGTGTCTTTATATATATACGAGCCCCTCCCCACTTCAGTTGGCCCAACTATTGATATCTTAGTTTTTTTCTTATCAAACACAAATAATAAAAATTTAGCAGGGTGTTATAGGTTTAAAATATTAACAATGAATATTTTGATAATAATGGGTGATTTTTTTGCTAGTATCTTTTTGGCATCACTGTTTTTGACAGATGACGCGTGAATCGTGTCTTGTTTCATTGTCAAACTTGTTCATTTTGGTCTATAATTTAACCATGAATCGACTTACGAACGAACAACGCTTGCAAATTATTGAATTTTACTATCAAAATTCATGCTCGTGCATCGAGCGCTGCTTCCAATTTATGGGCAAAAAAAACTACGTGGAAAATTTTGCGACAGGATTTGGGTGTAAAACCTTATAAGATACAGCTGGTGCAAGAATTGAAGCCATACGACCTCCCACAACGTTTCCAATTTGGTGAATGGGCGCTGGCAAAGTTGGAGGAAGATCCACATTTTTATCGAAAAATTGTGTTCAGCCACGAAGCTCATTTCTGGTTGAATGGGTACGTTAACAAGCAAAATTACCGCATCTGGAGTGAAGACCAGCCAGAAGCATTGCAAGAGGTACCAACGCATCCCGAAAAAATCACTGTTTGGTGTGGATTATGGGCCGGTGGCATCATCGGGCCGTACTTCTTCAAAGACGACAATGGCCGGAACGTGGCGAGCGCTACCGTGCGATGATAACAAACTTTTTTTTGCCCAAAATGGAAAAGCTGGACTTGGCTGATATGTGGTTTCAACAAGACGGTGCCACATTCCATACCGCACATGAAACAATGGCCCTATTGAGAGGCGAGTTCGGTGAACAGTTTACACGTTTGGGGCCCGTCAATTGGCCGCCTAGATCGTGTGATTTAACGCCGTTGGACTATTTCTTGTGGGGCCATGTTAAGGCCAATATCTACAGGGATAAACCAGCAACGATTGACGCACTGGAAGCCAATATTGAAGCATTTATTCGAGAGATACCGGCCGATATGTTGGAGAGAGTGTGCCAAAATTGGACCTTGCGCATGGGCCATCTAAAGCGGAGCCGCGGCCAACATTTACATGAAATAATCTTTAAATATTAAATTATATCGACCGTTCTATCGACTCAAATAAAGATTTAATCGTTTTTTCAAATTTTTTGTGCGTTTTTTGAAAATCAAATCACCCGTTATATAGTAGAAAACACCAACTTTATCACTCCCTAATCAAATTTGCAGCATAAAAATAACACATGTTGCAATTACAGCATATCAACCTATTTTCATTTCAATGCAAAATAAGTCTATAACGCATAGGTGGCTGAGCAAAATAAAAGCCATGACAATTGTTTTTATTAATCACAGCTGTCAGAATACGTTTAAAATAGTTTTGGGTAGTTAAGGTTTTCAAAATGGGTAGAGGAAACCTTATTAATGAGAAAATTCGGTTACTGATAATTAAATTTTTTAATTCTGGAAAATCGAACTCAGAAATTGCAACTTTGTTACACTTATCGTGGTACAGTGTGAGAAATATTGTTAGAAGATATAACGTAACTGGTTCAGTTAATATTAAGCCACGATATGTGAAAAAAGTAATATCACAAATGCCGACCGAAGAGCATTAAGAAGAATAATCGTGAGAAACAGGCGTGCCCATTATTTACAATTAAGTGCTCTGTGGAGTGACGCTGTTGGAAGGAGAATTTCGAGGTCCACAACTCATAGAGAGGCCCTCAAACTGGGATTTAGCACTTGCAAGGTAAGTTTTCTTATGAAAAATTGAAGTAAAAACCCTAAAGTTGCACAACTCGTTTACAGGCCAAACAAAAGCCACTATTAACTCCACTGCAAAAGAAAAATCGGCTTAGATGGGCTAAAGAACATAGACAATGGACGCCTCAACAAAGGTGTGCAATAGAATGGAGTGATGAGAGGTTTGTGTTGGTGACAGTCGCAGTAGAGTTATTCGCAAAAAAAAGGAAGCATTCCGTTGACTGTCTGAAGAGAAAAGTGAAATTTCCAGCATCCATTATGGTCTGGGGCAGTATGTCATCAAAAGGAGTAGAAAAACTTCATTTTATTGATGGAAATTGGGATACAAACAAATATTTGGCAATTTTAGAAGAATCGCTTTTACCAGTGATGGAAGAATGTTTGACATCCGGTCAAGATTTTGTGTTTCAGCAAGATGGTGCAGCGTACCATACCTCAAAAAAGGCTATAAAATGGATGGAAGAAAATAATGTACCACTTTTGAAATGGGTTTCTAGTAGTCCAGATCTGTCACCTATTGAAACTTTGTGGCACGAGATGAAAAAGGTTCTACGACAACATCCTGCGCGTACAATCACCGAACTGAGACAGAAGCTTCAAGAAATACTGGATTGTTTTACACCAAATTTTTGCCAAAACTTGGTTAACACTATGCCCGAAAGAATTTCAGCCGTAATAAAAATAAAGGTGATGTTACCCAATGGTAATCTTTCAATTGTTGCTTTGTCAGCTTCGCGCATTTATTCGCACATTGTTTATTTGTTCAGATGTTCTATTAGTTATAGGTCTAAGTGATTTCAAATATGTATTTTTTACGACTAGAGTGTATCTAAAACGTTTTTGAGAAAATAAATTGTTTTAGAAGTAAATAGTTTCGTCATGTTTAGTTTATAAAGGCATATTATGGTACAAATCTTGAAGTGGGCCAACTGAAGTGGGAAGGAGCTCGTATACTCTTTGCGCGGGCACTCTTAAAGTTTGGCTCAGGACGAACGAGTTTGCTGGCTGTTCCGGCCTCCGATACTACTAAGCTTAGAAGTTGACAAGCATACTCGCTATATCCAAAAAGATTTGAAATGAATTGAGGCAAAAACACCTTCATACATAAATTCGGCTTTGCAATCGAAAAGTTCCCGTTCTATAATGTTGATAGGTACTGTATGTGCACTCACAACATTAATGCTGACCGTTGTTATTTTCATATGATAAGTACGACCATCGGGTGGGGTGACTAATAGTATAAAATAGGTACCACAGACAACCAGAAGTTTATTTTTCTTCGCTGGCTGGTAGAGGTAAGAGTCTTTTATTTTTTATACGATCTTGACTAACAGTTTTTAAGGTACTTCTTTAAAATTATTGGTATCACTGTGCACGTTTTCCTTTTATTTTGCACACAAAATTCAAAAATACTTGAAAAGCTCTAGATTTAATATTTAAAAACCGTATTTCTTGATTTATTCAAAATGCCACATTATATCAAGAATAAGTAAATGAAAACTTACTTATTTTCAGCAGTCTTTGGATTTTGGTATTAATAATAGGCATTACTCTTAAAGAACCTGGCAGACGAAGGCCATTCTCTTGCCTGGTTTTGTCCACTTTTTAATACACGCTTAGCATTCTGAAAGATACAGTCACTATTTTGTACCTGTTATAATCCATTCTGTGATAATTTTGAGGTTTTGATTGTAAAAAAGTACAAAAAACAAAATAATAAGAAATGGAGTCAAATAGTTCTCATGCATTAATATCGAATATTTTCAATTTATCCAAACATACAAACTCTGAATCTCTTAAAATTGTTTTTGAAGCCTATAAAATATAAGAAATGAGATTTTAAATATTCAGTTCAAAAGTTTGTATTGATATTTGCTTAAAAAATGGAAATCTAGTGCCCTCTATTTTTTTAAAATAAGCTCCAGTGTAATCACTTCAGAATCAGAAAAAAGAGTTTGGGTATTTTTAGAAAACATACAAAAAATGAGTAAAGTATTTTGGCTTCACATAAATTCGTGTACGAGTATACAAATTCTGGATCTGCCCTTGTCTCACATATGCCTGACTACTTTGGGGCGTAGTCGAATAATTTTCGGAAAAGTGATGTCTTTGTAAATTCCGATATATTAATCTAACAAAAAAACTCCTGATCTTCAAATTAGATGATAATCGGATCCATTTTTGTTTAATAATTTTTGCAATATCTCTAAAAATAAAGTGGTGGCGGGGTATTCAAGGGTTCCCTTAAATAACACCCTGTATCTTAACGGCTCAGCCGATTTTAACAAATTTGGCTTAGTCGAAAAGGGCTATTCTTGAACTACAAATGTTATAATATTTAATGTTTTTCTAGTTTCACATGTGGCTGCTAGAGGGCTTTTTTCGACATCCCGACAGAAATGGTGAATTTTCTCAAAAAATTAATTGCATTGGTATAATTTTTTTTAAAAGTAGCTTAATAGTGTCAGACAAGTTTACAAAAACGGCATCTTGATATCTTGTTCCTAACCTAAAATTTAGGCGAAAGAAAATTTTATACGGAAATCCCTTAAATTTTTATTTTTTTTTAATAAAATTTCTGGAATGTCTTTTTATTATTAACTTGTGGCCCTAAAAAGTTGTTGGAGGACCAGAAACGAAACCTCATATTAAAATTCTAATTATGTCGTCTTATGTAGGAGAAAAAGTAGCAATGTTAACATGCAATTTTGGAATCCCATCTCACATAAGGTCAAGAAAAATAAAAGTGATTTTAGCATAAATCTAGTAGGGCTAACAAATGACTATCTAATAATTTCAAGGCCTACCTAGGAAATTCTGCTTTTTCTGAAATAACTAAGGTTTGGCAACATCAATGTATTACGTATTATTATACATTTTTGGAATTATAATTGAAAACTCTATGCATTTGGACAAGAAACGAAACGTCACATTGAAATACTAATTATGCCACCTTGTAGAGGAGGAAAAGTTGCACTGTTAGTGTGCAATTTATTTTGAAATCCCACTATAAATAAAGTCAGGGAAAAATTAAATTAATTAAATATGTCTTAATATAACTTTGCTATCCCTCCTGTAGTGCCTGCTGTACCTACCAAAAGGCCCTGACAGCGCTGAGCAGCTCAACGAGGACGAGTTTGTGGTCGGCTTAATCGAGAAGGACGGGGTTTCTGGAAACGCCACCTGCTGGCATACAGTATACTTGAGAAGGTAGGGAGTACTAAAGTTTGAATACATGTTCATTCTTTATTGATTCAGAATGCGAGATGTAGCAAACAAGAGTTGCGGAGGAAGTCCAGTTTTGCTACAGGTACTATAGCTGTGATTACATGTGTGTAGTCGACAAGGCTTTGAGATATATGCATTCTGGATTATTAAAGAATTTAAGTGTGTTCGATCCTCAGCCTATTTGAAGTAGCTCTTGTGTTTTGTCTTATAGGCTTCTTACACACTTTGGATGAAACCGGCCTCTTTTTTTTTATATGATTCATATATATTGTCAAAAGTTTCGTAACAAATTTTATAAACAACTGATTTTATTCAGTTTGAGGACCCGTTAAAAAGTTTTCACAAACTGAGAAAACCCATCATCTAGTCTTAGAAGTACTCGACATTAATCTTGATAAAATTATATTTTCCGTTTCCGAAGAATGTATTCAGGAGAGGAAAGGGGAACAGCCGCCCTCCTTCCAGGCATGAGAAAGTGAAATGAACAGACCATTTTTTATACGATAAAAAATGTTCTATGTACTCTTCACGTCTTGAACCAATATATATTAGGTGGGAAAATATTTAGGACTAGTTATTTGGTTTATGCAGAAAGTCTTAAATATTGTTTTCAGCTAAAATATTTTGAGCTCTATGTATCTTGCGGTTATAATGCAAAACAATAAATGGATCTATCTATTCAGATGTAGGATTCTCAAATTGTTTCAAAACTCTCTAATTCCTTCCATCAGTAGAAAAGGAATATACTTCAAAAGTACGGCATCTTGATTACAATCGTCTTGAAATAAACTTTGTAGAAAATGAAACTATTATGGTTATTTGTATTCATATTCTGATGAATATTTTAAATAATTTGAATTTAGAAAACTGATTGTGAAACATCGTTGAAATATCGACAAACAGAAATCGCTTCCACTCTGATTTTTGAAATATGGGACAATATGATTTAATACTCGTAGCAATAAATAAAGACCACGACAAAAGTGGCAGTTCCATTGATAAGACAATGGTCCTTATTCGTCAATGGGTCAGAATCCTTGGATGTTATTCACTGGATAATATCCTGCCTTACGCAGTAATATAAATCTAGGTTTGGATTGACTACACAAATTTTGGTTGTTTTAGCATTATGATTTGCACTTGAAATATGTGTTTTTTCAAATGGAAACGCAAATTTTAGTTTTTTCTGGCCTCCAGAAACTCAAAAATACACTCAATGGAAGATTTATTTTTATGTTTCACTGGCTGTTAAATGAAACCATATACGTCTTAGAAAAAAAAGTATTGACACTTCGGTGGTGGTATTTTTCACCGAGGTGGGTGAAATGCAGTGAGTTTTTTCTTTTCATATGACACATAGAAGTAAATCAGCGAAGCAATGCAAGATCAGCTTTAGAAGCTACATAAGCAAAAATAAAACTTGGGGTCAAGAATTTTTGTTTTTTATCCTTACACTTTTAAACTGATCTTCGGAGGCAACAGGTATATTTCATAGAGTAACCTTGTGTCAAAGTTTTGTCACAACTGAAGAGGTACTTTTCAAGATAGAGTAGGCCAGTGATTATCTTTACTTCCCCCGCCTACTGGCGAGGAAGTATTGTAATCGCTAAAACTAGCGTAGTGACTATCGTAGAATTGACCATCTCATGAAATGATTGAGCATTTCATGAATTAAATAATATTCATTCAGGAGTGATCGTATCGTAAAATATAGAAAATATAGACTATAGAATATCTGATAAAAATCCAGAATATAATAATAATAATAATGTTGATTTGCAACATACAGTTAGGTAAAAATAGTAGCAAAATACATTTAAATGCGATATGGTACAAAAAAGGGCTGAAGGCATTTAAAAATGATACAAGTTCAGCCCTTCACCTAGTACACATTCATATATACAAGTTATGTACCAGTCTACCGAGAAGAATATGCTGAACAAGGACTTTTGCCTCCACGTTCCTTTCTTATCAGTTACAGTATTGTATTTCATTTGTTCTTTACTTTGGTTTGTATAATGAACTTTGCAGTCAGTCTCGATTCAGAACTCATTCAATTAACATCATTGTATTTGGTCTTTCTCAAAAATAAATCTTTTTAAAAACGTTTTGGTTGAAGAAAGATATTTGAGTGGCGCAGCCAGTAGGATAGCCAGACGAAAAAAGGACATTTTCGGTTCGTTTCAACGGTTTACTGGCTATAACGAAACCAACCGCGATTGGTCGCGAACGATCCGACGGAATATCGATATCGTTACCGTGATCACCGGAACCAGATTTGGGATAGAACCCTACCCAAATCGAGAAACCAAGACGACAGCAGCCCAGAGGACAGAAGGAACATCTGCTCCAGGACAGTCAACCCAGCAGTGGCCCAGGCATACGGACACATGGGACGGATTGGATTATTACTGTAAGTACGAATGTCTTACAGGGGTGAAAACAATCAAAAGCTGTTTGATGATATATTGAGTGACACTGATTCGGACTCACAGTCGGATACGGAACATATCCAACATAGTTTAAGGAATTTGCAATTAAGACCTAGTATACTAAATAGTACAGTCAATATGAACAACAGTCAAGTAAATCAATCAAGCATGTCATTACGCCCAGAGTATCTTAACATGATACCCGAATTTTATGGTCAACAAGAATTATTACCAAGATTCATAGATATTTGCGAAAAGTTAGTGAATAAATTTTATAGATTAGAGGATGAAAATGACTTCCAGAACGAATATCCTATCAGTAGTATTTTAGCGAAAATCAAAGGTAATGCAGCTTTAAATATTAGTAGCAATATTATAAAAAATTGGACAGACTTGAAAACTGCACTTTTAAATACATATCAAGACAAGCGTGACGTATTTACTCTAAATATAGAATTGTGTGAATTGAAACAGAACAATGAAACCCCCTTTGAATTTTATAACAAAGTTCAGAGTTTATTGAATTTACAAATATCATTTTTAACTACACATTGTGTGAGTGAAGAAGCTCAGATAATATGTAATTTTTGCAAAAGCGTAGCATTAAGAGTATTTCTAAAAGGTTTAAAGGAACCTCTAGGATCGCTCATGAGGACGAAAAATCCTACAGACTTGAATGAAGCTCTGAATATATTAACTAACGACTTTCAGCTTGATCATAAGGTAGATAAACATAAAAATGTTAATCGAAGTAATATGCAATTAGTTCGCCATATGAACAACAACTTTGGTAATTATAGGAATCAATACCAAGCGGTACAGCGTCCAGTATTACAAAGACAATTTAGTCCTAATAATGTACGACCAAATAATCCTAATCAGAATAGAACGAATTTTCACAATAATAACGTTTTTAGACCTAATCAGATCAATAATCTGCCAAGGCCTACTCCGATGAGTACATCCACTAGACAGACGTATCAGCAACCAAATTTTCAAGGTAGAAATTTTAACAGACCTGGTGTCAACGCAGAACAGGCTATGTTTAACTTGTGTGTACAAGACCAACCTGTTGTAGAATTTCCAAATGATGACAATTACGAATGCGCTTATTCTCAGAATAATTCTGACAATTTTTTAGGGCAAGAAGCCTCGGAACAGAGACAACCACAAATCTCAACGGACCACCCAAGTCAATTGAAATTATGAGTTTAACCGACAAATGTAGCAAACTACCATACATTGTATTTCCGGAGTATAATCTCAAAATATTGATTGACACTGGAAGTACAAGATCTTTCATACACCCTGAAATTGCGAAAAAATTATTTTCAAGACATATTCAAAAAGACCCATTCCAAATCACTTCAGCACATGGTTCATCTATCGAACAATATAGTATGACAATACCTTGTCCAAAG